GTCAAAGAGGCAATTAAAATTTGGAGGGTTCTGTATCATCCCAAAGGGCAACAAAGTATGGAGAAAAGGTGAGACAAAGGAAAAGGGGTTTGGGGTTCCTGCTGGGGAGTAAGTTATGGGAAGGCAACTTGGAAATGTGGGATATGCAAGGCTTGTTTAATAAGGTATGTGGAGATTCAAGTGGGTGCCTTGTCCATTGATAAGAGATTGTACAGGAGACAGAGACTCCAAATGTAAATTTCCTTTATAAAAGGGAAATTTATGCTCTGTTTTTAGAGCTTTCCCGGCATCTGCTGTTCCTCAGTTGCTTGTGCTCAAAATAAACCTTATGCCAAAGGGGCATATTTTGTTTGGGGGTGGCAGTCTGGTCCCCTTCACAGGTGAGCTAAGGCCGTAGCATTATGTGGGCAGAAGTTAACAGCTTGTTTTGTCTGTTTGAGGTGTGGTGGGAAGCCAGGCTGGGAGCAGAGGCTGCAGGGGAGATGCAGGGTGTGGAAGCCAAGAAAACATAGAGTTCCCATCTTGAAAATAAGGGGCACCCTTTAGATCAGTGCTATCCAGTGGAGCTTTTTGTAATGCTGTAAATGTTCTTTTCTCTGCAGTCAAATATGGTAGCCACTGGTCACATATGGCTGTGGAGCACTTGAGATGTGGCTAGTGTGACTGGATTTTAAACTTTATTTAATTTTAATCCATTTAAATGTAAACATAAATAGCCCCAGTGGCTCGTGGCCACTCTTTGGGAAGATGACTTCTATGGAGTATGTCAAGTAGATGTGAGCGGGAGACAGAGAACGATGTGCCTCCGCCCTGCAAGAGGTGATTGACCCTCCCCTCCACTGGTCTTCCTGTCCAGTGTTCCTGGAGATGGATCAGGCACTCACTCTCTGCTTCCCTGCTGTGGGCCCCAGTGTCTAGTCTATGCCTTTGATACAGCACACACATCTGTTACTTAACTGTCTTTCACACCTCCAGCTCCAGGCTCCATGTCCAGCCTGGCCCAGCTCTCTTCATCCCTCAGTTGGCACAGGGATTCCCAGGCTTTCTTGCCAGTCTTTGGGGGTCCTATTTTGCTTTGACTTTTGGAGAAACTACACTCTCAGGGAAGATGTCCTTTGGCCCATCTCTGCCTTCAACTGTGAAGTGAAGGCAGATGTGCATGAGTTTGGAGAATTCTGTCACACCCTTGCAGCAGGAGGGGAGGAAAGAAGAGATTGGGAGAGGGATATCCTGAAGAGTGTCTAAACCCAGAGAAATGGGGTGACATGAAGCATCTAGGGGTTGGTCCTGTGTTCAAAATTTCATGTCTTACACAGCAGCCAGCCTGAAGGGGCTTCCACTGGCCTAATATGGGGCAATTTGAACATCAAAATAAATAATAATAGTCAAGGATTATGACTTATAGAATAAAGGAAGAATCCATGAGTCTATACTGATATAAATAAATGAATGACTAAATAATGAGAGGGAAGAAAAAGTTATTACTAACAATAGAAAGCCAACTAATAAGTGTTGGAATGATGGAATTAGAAATTAGAAATTCACCACTTTCCATCCACATAAATGACGAAGACAAGACTTATTCAAACTAGTGGTCTCAAAGTATATCACCGTGAAACGCTGTTGAGTAACAAAGGGAAAAATAATAGCTTCGCAGTGGGGAAACCAAATGATCAAAGTTGACATTGGGCTTTAAAAACTGGAGCTTTAAAAATTACTGATGGGGGCCAGGCGCAGTGGCTCATGCCCGTCTGTAATCCCAACACTTTGGGAGGCCGAGGTGAGTGGGTCACTTGAGGTCAGGAGTTTGAGACCAGCTTGACTAACATGGTGAAACCCCATCTTTACTAAAAATACAGAATTAGCCAGGTGTAGTGGCGGGTGCCTGTAATCCCAGTTACTTGGGAGACTGAGGCAGGAGAATAGCTTGAACCCAGGAGGCGGAGGTTGCAGTAAGCAGAGATTGCACCACTGCACTCCAGCCTGGGAGACAGAGTGAGACTCTGTCTCAAAAAAACAAAACAAAACAAAACAATCATTACTGATGGATGGGACCAGGCATGGTGGCTAACACCTGTAATCCCAGTACTTTGGGAGGCTGAAGCAGGTGGATTGCTTGAGCCCAGGAGTTTGAGACCAGCCTGGACAACATAGTGATGAGACCCTCTCTCTACAAAAAGTAAAAAAATTAGCGAGGCATGGTGGTATGTGCCTAACTACTTTGGAGGCTGAGGTGGGAAGATCGCTTGAGCCTAGAGGTCGAGGCTGTAGTGAGCCATGATCACACCACTGCACTCCAGCCTGGGCAACAGAATGAGACCCTGTCTCAAAAAAAAAAAAAAAAAAAGTTAACATTGGCAGTAGTGGGACCGCTCCACAGCAGACGCCCCCTGAGAAGATACACTGAAGAGAAAGTAACACTTCTGTGTTTTCTTGCCGAAAGTTTATAAACAAACTCTAATCATAAGAAAACACCAGGAATACCCAAAGTGAGGGACCTTCTACAAAATAATTGACCTGTATTGTTTAAAATATCTATGTCTTGAAATACGAAGACTCAGAAATTGTTTCAGATTAAAGAAAACTTAAGAGACCTGACTGTTGAATGAAACACATGATCTTGGGTTTCTTTTGCCATAAAGGATGTTATTGGGACAACTGAAGGGAATCTCAATAAGGTCTATGGGTTACAAAATAGTATTGTTTCAGTGTTGAAAAAGAGAAAGTAAATGTAGTAAATGTTACCATTTGGGGAATCTTTTTGTACTATCCAGGAGTTTTCTGTTCTATCCTTGTAACTTTTCTGTAAATCTTAACTATGTACCCCCAAAAAACAAAATATTCATTGTTCATTTCCGATGGAGGGATACCAGTGTTTACTGTAGTGTTATTTAAACTATTCTGCATATTTTAAATATTTTTATAATTAAAAGTTAGGGGAAAAGTAATAAAGTCATGTTCTAAATATTATGTAATATATAGAGACTTGGACATCATTTAGAATATCTAAGTCTCTGTATATTTCATAATAGGGACACTCTAGATTTGAATTAAAAGATGAGTATAAATGAATTTATTATGAGTAAAGTCACTTGATAGTATTTTTGAATCGGTGAAGTTAGCTTTTGTTTTCCTTTACGTACACTGTGGCCAGCACAATATCCTACTCATCTTATTGTCAATCTGATACTTGCTGAATGAATCATGCACAAGGTGGAGCTTCTTCCTCTCTCTTCCCTTCTTGGGGGTTCAGAAAAACCATTTGTGTCATTCACAACACTTTATAGCTGTGCCCACTGTCATCTGAATTGAATTAGTCTAATCCGATAAAGCTTATTGATATTAAAGAAACATTTTTTGAGTTTGTTTATATTTAAAGCTTATGCAGTACTTCAATATAGAATTTTGAACTCCCTGCCTGAATTTCTACACTTTCTTTTCTTTTTTTTTTTTTTTTTACAAAGAACACATCTTTAACATGGTAAAATACAGCTCTCATTTTCAAGTTCTAAAAAATAAACTAGAGGGCCGCACACGGTGGCTCATGCCTGTAATGCCAGCACTTTGGGAGGCTGAGGCATGCGGATCATGAGGTCAGGAGATTGAGACCATCCTGGCTAACACAGTGAAACCCCGTCTCTACTAAAAGTAAAAAAAAAAAAAAAAATTAGCCAGGCATGGTGGCGGGCACCTGTAGTCCTAGCTACTCAGGAGGCTGAGGCAGAAGAATGGTGTGAACCCGGGAGGTGAAGCTTGCAGTGAGCCGAGATTGCGCCACTGCACTCCAGCCTGGGTGACAGAGTGAGACTCTGTCTCAAACAAAAAAAAAAAAAAAAAAAAATTAACTAGAGGATGCGTATGTCCTTAGACTTTTAAATAAAATCTTTATTACTCTGGTTTTCTATTTATAGGCACTTGTATATGATCTCATATTAGTCTTTATGGAGGTACTAATTCAATTTAGCTGATATTTTTAGCCACCTGAGCAGAATTTTTGGCCCTAAGGATTCAAAGATGAATGAGATGTAGTTCCCAAACTTGTGCAAAAAATTGTTTTATGAAGACCTTGCCTCGGCTAAAATCTTCTCTCTTGGCTACCTGGGGGAGGCAGCTGGTCAGAGAGGTTGGAATAGGTGTCCTGGTGTATCTGTTAGGAGCAGGAGACCTGCACATTGTAGCTGGGAGATGGCTGAAGCACAGAGATTACAGAATGAACTGTGATTCTCTGAGATGCTAGTACCCGGGGCTGCCTTTCACCGGGTTTGACAGAAGAACCTGCCATTCTCACTGTTACAGGCAAAAGCAAACAGTACGGGGGAATTGATATCAAGGTATGCAATTAAACTGTGGCTTCTTTCTGCAGGCAGCTTTGCAGGCTATTAGGCTTTAGATTTTTTTCTTACCTTGTTCTAGTAATTAGAGAGATCTTTATAAATTTGGCTATGGAAACACAAATTTAGGGTAAGAGCATGATTTTATGAAATGCCGATTGATAAAAAGAAAATGTAGGTTATTATCAAAGAAGGACTGGGATGAATTACGTTTAATGTGGTAATGGTCACTGCATTTTTTTTTCCCCTTTTGCTGGAAATCAGAATGATCCCTTCCTTCCCCTGCTCAGCACTGTCAGGCAGTTGTCACAGTTAGATTGGTCTCCACATCTTAAGCCCGCCCACAGGAAGTCTCTCATCTGAGGGCGTTGGGCAGTGCTTCAGCAGGACAACTCCTCCGCCAGTGCCCCACCTTTAGACAGGTGTGCCTGCTCAAGGCTTAGCTGGTGTTGCCCCATGCAGTTGCTGTGAGACTTCTAGGAAGCTACCATTCCTCATTGCTGCTGGGGGAGGAAAGGTGGAGAGAGTCTGGAGGCCGAGAGCTTGCAGAGATCCTGTACCTGCCTGCAGGGCTTTCCTCTGAATCTCCTGCACCTGGCAGGGCATTCCCACTCCGCCAAGTGCTTCACCCCGCCCCGCCCCTCCCCTCCTCCAGGCTTGTAGGAGCCACCCCCTTCCGGGTCCTGCCCGGGTGATGCTGGGCCAGGAGCTTTGTGTACACCCCTCCACTTCAGCTGAGCCAGGGCATGTCTGCAGCCCGGGCCAGGGTGCAGCGTGTGCCCTGGGGGCCCAGGCCTGCATGGCTCCTCTGGGTAAGGGGGTTGGAGGCACCCCCAAGGATGGTCCCTTAGGGTGATGTTTTGGCTTTGGGGTGACTTCAGCAATGTCCCTGAGAGACAAGGGCGGGGAAGAAGAATGTTTTGAATACGACTGCCAGGATGAAGAGAGGAAGCCCACCCACAGGCAGCATGACACTCAGGACCTCTTGGAAGAGGGTAAATTCTGTACTTGGCTCAGATTTGATCCTTTCCTTGTTAGTGTCTAAATAGGCTTCAGTGTTTTGCTGATTTCATAGCACTCTTTTTTTTTTTTTTAATTGAGGTATAAGTTAGAGATCTTATGCAAATGACTTAAAGGTGTCCTTGTAAGAGCCCCCGCCCCCTCACCCATAGAACAGCATTTCCAGCTCCTCAGGAAGTCCCTTGGTCCCTTTCTAGTTTACATCTACCTTCTCAGAAACAATTATTGTGACTTCTGTCACCTTAGATTTGTTTTGCCACTTCCCGATCTTTGTAATGGAATCAAACAGGGTGTATTCCTTTGTGTCTGGCTTCTGTTGCTTAACTAAGGTCTTTGAAATTCATCCTTGTTGTTGCAGATATCACTAATTGTGTGGTTTTTTTGTTTGTTTTTGTTTTTAAAATTTGTGGCATTCCAGCATTCTGTTTTAAGAGATTCAGTTGTTATCTTGTGACTGTTTGGGTTTTGATAAGTTAAGGGACAAGAGACCAGTCTTATTAAATGAAGCATGTTTTTGTTCTGGCAGTGTTTATTTTTTAAAACATTATTAATCACTTACCTGAAATAAGGATGTATTAAATCTTAGAAATATTTCAAAACGAATAGCCCAAGGCTGACATTGAAATCCAGGAGGCCCACTGCTGGCTGTCTTAAAGAGATGCTCCTTTGCAGGGAAAAGGGATGTTAGGTAAACATAGGCCCAGATGCTGGTGGGAGCTTTCTAGTTGGCCTTCCAGGGCTTTCAGCCACAGCCCAGAGAAAGGGGCTTTGGGGGCTGGTCAGGATGTGTAAACAGTGACTCCGTGGATGTTCTTTAGGTCCCTTGAGTAAAAACATTCAGAATACGTTTCAAACTTCTGCTTTAGGATGGTCTATTTTCCTGTCTCGGGATAACTTTTCTCTTTCCTTTCTTTTTCTTTTTTTTTTTTTGCGACCGGGTCTCATTGTGTTGCCCAGGCTGCAGTGCAGCAGTGTGATCCTGGCTCACTGCAGCCTTGACCTTCAGGGCCCAAGAGATCCTCCCACTTTAGCCTCCCTAGTAGTGAGTAGCTGGGCCCACAGGCACACACCAACTTGCCCAGCTAATTTTTAAAATTTTTTGGTAGAGACAGGATCTCACGAAGTTGCCCAGGCTGGAACTTCTGTTTTCAACATTATTTATAATCGACCATACACTGAAAATATTTTTCTTTTGAAGTTACTGTTCTAAAAATATTGTTAACACTTCCCCTCCAGGACATCTGCAAATATTTTATTGCAGGAAGGGAAGAAACTGGGGGAAGCCAGGAGAGGGTGAGGGACTCAATGCTGAGGCCTGCATTCTGGCTGGTGCCCTTCTGGCCTTGTCTTGAAGGAGATGGGGGAGGGGAGAGGGAGTGACAGGATTGAGGATTTGTTAGGTCCCTGGAAGGGATCGGAGAAAGGTGTCCATCTGCCCTTGTAGAACTAGGGCTCCCCCAGATTTAGCTGGATTAGCTTCCTGCCCCTTTAATCTCTGCTGCTTTAAGTGCAGCCAGGGCCCTCATCACCTGGGAGCTTGCTAGAAATGCAGAATCTTAGGCCCCAGCCCAGACCCACTGAGTCAGCATCTGCCTTGTAACAAGATATCCAGGTGATGGGCATGCATGTTAAAGTATGAGATGAGCTGCTGCCTTAAAGCCTAGCAAGATTTTTTAAAAAACCAGTCATTGAACTGTATGATTCTAGATTAAAGGCTATAAAATATTCTGGAGAAGTATCACACATCCTAGTCAAGAGAGGAAAAAAATGTGTGTTGTGCCCATTTCATGTATATAATATATATAAATATGTGATGATAAATATACAATATATATAAAAAAGATTATAAATATATATTATATATAAATATATGAAGAGCGACAGAGACTGTCTCTCTCTTTCTCCCTCTTCATATATTTTGTCAACTAAGTGAAATAACAGGCACTGGAACTTAGAGAAATCACAGCTTATTCTGAGCCAGGCTTGAGGACTTGAGCCCAGGAACACAGGCTCAATATAGACCGAGACTGTGTCCTGAAGTAGACGGCTTGAGGCACAGTAGATATGCATTTTCTAATAGGGGGAGACACGTTTTCCAATAGGGGGAGATGTGTGACACAGAAGGTGGGGGAAAAGGATAGTGAAGCAACAGTTCCTTTCCTGTAATTCTGTTTGGTGCACAGCGATGCTGTACATAAGATAAGGTAAACATACAGTTGAGCAGTAGGGAGAAAGTTTAGGTATCTTAAGGGTCTAGTGGAGGGTGACTGATTTCGTCAATCCTGTCTTTTGTTCTACATCTGATAAACAGGTTTCTGACCAGTTCCTGTCAGCAAAATATTTGACAAACTCCATTTACCCAGGCAAGAGGTCAGCTTTAGTTTATAGGCCTAGGTCTTATTACCCTCGTGCTTATCTGCAGCCATCAGGGGCCACTGTTAAATTTTTCGTTAGAAATTTTCTTTTCCTGAAAATTTATGTAGATGCATGTATTAAATTTTTAAAAACCAAGAGCTAGATGATAATGATAGTGAATGTGTGCTTCCTAAGTACTTGGCACCATTTTAAGTACTTTATGTGGATTAATGCATTGAACTTTTAAAACATTTGAGGTCAAATACTGTTATTATTTTATAGGTTTAGGAGGAAATGTAAACAACTTGTATAAAGTCACACAGTGAGTTAAGTGGTCCCAGCCTATTTAGAATGACTGTGGAACTCTCTGCTCTTAACTATGATGCTAGCAGTTCTCAAAGTGGAGTCCCTGACCAGCAGCATCAGGATCACCCAGGAACTTGTTAGAAATGCACCTTCTTGGAGGCCAGTTGTGGTGGCTCACGCCTGTAATCCCAGTACTTTGGGATGCTGAGGTGGGTGGCTCACGAGGTCAGGAGTTCAAGACCAGCTTGGCCAAGATGGTGAAACCCTGTCACGGGTTTAATTAGCCAGGCATGATGGCAGTGCCTGTAATCCCAGCTACTGTGAAAGCTGAGGCAGGGAATTGCTTGAACCCGGGAGGCAGAGGTTTCAGTGAGCCGAGATCACGCCACTGCATTCCAGTCTGGGTGATAGAGCAAGACTCCATCTCAAAAAAGAAAAAAAAGAAATGTACCTTCTTGGGTCCTACTCCAGACCTACTGAATCAGAAACTGGGGTGGGACCAAGCAAGCTGAGTTTCAACATGCCCTCTGGGTGATTCCAATGTACACTGTCCTGTGCTAATCCACATCTCATAGATAACAGTATATCTGCCTTATAATTGGATTCAAGGGAAGAGATTTTGCCTTGTATTTGTCATCTTATGATAGATAATTACTGTATATTCTCTCCTTCTCTTGTTTGTTTCTATCCAGTTTTCCTTCATACTCCAAGAAGTCATTTTTAGCAGTCCTGTAGGTGAGGTGTTAACAGTATTTTTAGAACAGTAACCTCAAAAGAAAAACACTGTTGCCAGCATGCTTCCTTTACTTTGTAAAATGAAACAAACTCACTTTCAAGGTTTGCTCCTGACATGAAAGAAGCAAGGCTGTGGTGCAGATCAGAAGGATAGCAACTTAGAAAGTTTGGTGTCATGGCCAGTTTTGCTGGAAACGTGTATCTTAGAGCAAGCTGGGCAGGACCCCATTTTTCTCTGTCATGGTCACACCACCCTTGTCTTGAGTTCACAGGAAGGCAGCCCCACATGTGGAGCAGAAATACTCTGTGAGTAGTGGAAATATGTGTGTGGATTTGGATCTGTGTTACGTGGATTTCGAGATGTTTCTACATTGTCAACTTGTCTAAAAGAGGTGCTTTTGGTTGAAATCTGTAAGATACAATTAGTATTTCAGTTGCTCTGATAATTATAGATACAGGATACATTTGTTGTTCTCTCTAGGTCACCTTGTGGGATACTAGGCACTTTTTCATGTCACTCATTTAATCTTTAAAACAGACTTTCAGGGAAACATTCTCATTCTGCAAGCAAAGCATCCGAGGCTCAGATAGTTTGCACTTGTACAGAGTCTCCCAGCTGGAAGCACAGAGCTGGGTCTTCGCCCTGCCTTGTGGATTTCTGTGTTTCACCATGCACAGGCTCTAAGCTGACAGAGTTCTAGGCCCTTCCCTTGTATTATCTCATTTAATCCTCTTATCCCATGAGGTGGGTGCTCCTGGGAGACCAGGCAGCAGGAGAGGGCTTGGCGTTCACTGTCTTCCCAGGGAGAGGAAATATCCAGGTCCTGTGTCTTCTGGCTACTGAAAACTTGCACAATGAGAAAGCAAATTGATGTCAGGTGCTTAGTGGCATATTTAGAGGAAGGCTCTGCCTGCTTTTCGCAATCCCTCTCCTCGCTATGAGACTGAGAGGGCTGGACTGCATGAATGAAATAGTGAGTCCCGCCCTGTCTCAGTGCCTGGGCAGCTGCATGAGGAAAACACTGGTGTAAAGGGAAGTTTCATGGTCACTTCCTTGTGGCCTATTACCTGGCAAATTCCCAGTGCTCTTTTTCTTTTTCTTAAATGAAATGCATCAAGGAGCCTGACTTACTAATTTCTTCTCATCGGGGTACTTCCAAATCTATTACCCATTTGCAAAGTGAATCACTAAATTTCTGGCAAATGGTATTCAGGATTGCTCAGAAGGCATGATTTGGATAGAGATGCACAATGATCTGGAGTTTGCTGGGTGTTCTCATGACCAGGTTTAGGTTCCCCTAGAACACGGGCTGCAGGAGAGAGAATGCATCCCTCTTTCCTTAGGGATGGCTGCTAAGAGTATGTGAGAGGGCAGAGTCAGTCTCCTGCACAAAGGGCAGTTTTCAGGTGTTGAACACTAACCAGACGTGATCATCTGGAAAAACAGGGGTGAAAAAAATGCCAGTCAGTGGTGGGAACCCAGAGCCTCCCGTGTCTATGTCCAGTGGCTGCACCTGCTGGCCTTTCAAATTCTCCATCTAGTTCCCAGACGAAGCTGGAGATTCAGCACAGATAGAGCACATTTCTCCAGCTTGGGAGAGCATTCCTGGGCTGCAGAGAAAGGACTGGGCACCGTGGGGAATAACTGGATCCAGGAGTGCTGTGTCCCGCAGGTGGTTGTGGTGTGTCAGGCTTTTGTGGGCTGTGGAGTTGGGAACGTCAGCCCCAGAGAAGGGGCCCGAGTCCTGGCCCTTTGTTAATGTAGTGTCACCAGCAGCACTTGAGGGTGCTGTGCACAACTTTCCCGATGTGTCAGCGTTGAACGAGGAACTGACCTGGCGCATCAGTACCTACTGCAGCACTGTTACAAAGGTCTCTTGGTTCATGGTTTTCATTGTCCTTGTCTCCACTTGGGGTTTGGTTCTCAGTATCCATGGCTGCCCCATGGAGGCCTCCTTTGGGGTCACTCTGGGTGGCTCTCCTAATAGAGGGGTACCAGCCCTCACTCTTGGCGCCTCTTCGGCCTTGGCATCCACTCTGGTGACACTTGAGGAGCCCTTCAGCCCGCCACTGCATTGCGGGAGCCCCTCTCTGGGCTGGCAGAGGCCGGAGCCGGCTCCCTCTGCTTGTGGGGAGGTGTGGAGGGAGAGGCGCGGGCAGGAAGAGGGCCGGGGCGCTCACAGACCAGCGCGAGTTCTTGCGGGTGCAGGCGCTGGCTTGGCGGACCCCACACTTGGAGCGGCGGGCTGGCGAGCCCAGGGCAGTGAGGGGCTTAGCACCCATGCCCGCAGCTGTGGAGGTTGTGCCGGGTACCCCCAGCACTGCCGGCCCGCCGGCATGCACCACACTCGAACTCTCGCAGGGCCTCAGCCGCCTCCCCACGGGGGAGGGCTTGGGACCTGCAGCCTGCCATGTCCAAGCCCCGCGACTCACGGTGGGCTTATGCGAGGCCCGAGCCTCCTGGATGAGCGCCGCCCTGCGCCTCAGCGCCTGGCCCCATTGACCGCCCAAGGGCTGAGGAGTGTGGGTGCACTGCGTGGGACTGGCGGGCAGCTCCGCTTGCAGCCCCTGTGCGGGATACACTAGGTGAAGCCAGCTGGGCTCCTAGGTCTAGTAGGGACTTGGAGAACCTTTATGTCTAGATAAGGGATTGTAAATACACCAATCAGCACTCTGTGTCTAGCTCAGGGTTTGTAAATACACCAATCAGTACTCTGTATCTTGCTAACCTAGTGGGGACTTGGAGAACTTTTCTGTCTAGCACTCTGTGTCTAGCTAAAGGATTGTAAATGCACCAATCAGCACTCTGTGTCTAGCTCAGGGATTGTAAATACACCAATCAGCACCCTGTGTCTAGCTCAAGGTTTGTAAATAACACCAATCAGTACTCTGTGTCTAGCTAACCTAGTGGGGACTTGGAGAACTTTTCTGTCTAGGGCTCTGTCTAGCTAAAGGGTTGTAAACGCACCATTCAGCACTCTGTGTCTAGCTCAGGGATTGTAAACGCACCAATCAGCACTTTGTCAAAATGGACCAATCAGCAGGATGTGGGTGGGGTCAGATAAGGGAATAAAAGCAGGCTGCCTGAGCCAGCCAGTGGCAACCCTCCCGCGGTCCCCTTCCCCACCGTGGAAGCTTTGTTCTTTCACTCTTTGCAATAAATCTTGCTGCTGCTCACTCTTTGGGTCCACACTGCCTTTATGAGCTGTAACACTCACCGGGAAGGTCTGCAGCTTCACTCTTGAGGCCAGCAAGACTACGAACCCACCGGGAGAAATGAACAACTCCAGACACGCTGCCTTAAGAGCTGTACACTCACCGCGAAGGTCTGCAGCTTCACTCCTGAAGCCAGCGAGACCACGAACCCACCAGAAGGAAGAAGCTCCAGATGCATCTGAACATGTGAAGGAACAAACTCCTGACACACCGTCTTTAAGAACTGTTACACTCTCCGTGAGGGTCCGCGGCTTCATACTTGAAGTCAGCGAGACCAAGAACCCACCAATTCCAGACACACCAGCATCACCCTAAGGCTGACCATGAACAAAGAGCCTACTCACGATCTCTGTATTTTGGGGTTCTTTTGCAACTCTGCCCACTTCTGGGGCCTGTCCCGTGTCCCTCTGCCCTCCTCAGCTTTCTTTTATCATCTGAGCTGCCTAGCAGGATCTCTCACCTGATACTTCCTGCTTGCTCCTCTGTGTTATGCCAGTTTATGCACGTGCCCTACCTTCTCAACTAGGTCAGGAATTTTTCGAGGGTAGGATTCATTTATTTACTCAACAGACATTGAGAGCTCCAACTTGGGGGTTAGACAGACCAGGCCCTTCCATAATAGCTCTGTGGTTTTGGGCAGTTTCTTTATGTCTAAAATGGGACAATTGTAATACCTTCCTCATAGGATGGATGTAAACGTTAAAGGAGGTTACATACAGACAACTCTTAACAGAGTGCCAGGCTCATGGTGAGGGTGCCAAAGCAAGCCATTTGGTTATTGCCTCATTAAATGTCTCATTGATAAATGGCCACTGTAGATCAACACTGGGTGTTCCAGTCTGGGGCGGGGTGGATGATTACAGCATCTAGCAAACCTGCTCCAAGTCCATGGTTGTGTCTTTCTCGACCTTGGATGAGCCACTTGTCTTTCTCGACCTTAAACGAGCCACTGGCTTTTCTGCCTGGTTAAATGAGGCTCATATGTATGTTGTGGGCTTCTTCTGAGTTTTAAGTGAAATAATACTTGTAAAATGTCTGGGGAAGGAGTTGGCACATTGTAGATACTCAGTAGTTGTATACTCATTTCATTTATTCTTCTCTTCTTCTTAAATAACTTGTATTGGTGTCCTGCTCTTAGCCTACAAGGCAAGGGAAAGTGAGCCAGTAGAATTGTCACACTTCAACTTCAGTTAATAGTGATACTGATAAGCAATAAAAGGAAGCCAGAGCTGTGCTGTTTTGGTCTCTGTCCTTGGCAAGTGACACCATGCTCTTGCCTCCCAGTGCAGAGACCAGGCACTACACAGACATGCATAATGGCTGTACAGACCGTTGTTCGTACAGCTCTGGGTTGGTCTCTGCCCCCACTACTCTCCTGGCCACAAAGCTCCCTGCAAAAACGAAGTGACTCAAAGAGACAAGGAGATGGGGAGTTGCTAAGACAGATGCATTAAAAGGATGGCATCAATTAAGTGGCTGTGGTCCTAGGCCAAAAGCAAATGAGCAAACTGCTACTGCTTCTCTCAAGTAAGAGGTGCTGGCTTACCACACCCCCTCAGGCCTGTCTGGTGTTCAGATGACTTGTGGCCGGGACAGACCCACCAGGACTCATGCTCATCTTGAGGGCATGCGCTGTGCACCAGGGCTTTGTTTGCACCCCTCTCTGGGGTGTGGGTTAGAAATGAGCTGTTCTTTGCAAGTAGAACAGCGTTTGGTTCTGTTTTGTTTTTTTTTCTTTGAGTATCAACTGTGTGTCTGGCCCAAAATGAGAAAGACTCAGCTGCCTTCGTGTGACCTAAACAGCCCAGGTGGGAAGGGACATTTGTAAGCATTTGTTGGGTTTGTTCTGCCTGCCCTGCTGTAACCATTTTTGACATGAGGACACTGAGATAAGAATAAAAAGCAATGGTTCTTTTTTTTATTGTAACTGCTGAAAAATGAGCATTGTTTTTCATTACCAAGTACTGTGGGCCCTTACCCTGTTCCAGTGGCCACTTCAAAGTCTTCATCAAAATAGCTACATTTTGTTTTGTTTTTAAAAGCAAGTAATGGGCCGGGTGCGGTGGCTCACGCCTGTAATCCCAGCACTTTGGGAGGCCGAGGCGGGCGGATCAAGAGGTCAGGAGATCGAGACTATCCTGGCTAACAAGATGAAACCCCGTCTCTACTAAAAATACAAAAAATTAGCCAGGCATGGTGGCGAGCACCTCTGGTCCCAGCTACTCGGGAGGCTGAGGCAGGAGAATGGCATGAACCCGGGAGGCAGAGCTTGCAGTGAGCTAAGATCGTGCCACTGTACTCCAGCCTGGGCCACACAGAAGTGAGGGACTGTGTCTTCAAAAAAAAAAAAAAACCCAGAAAGCAAAACAAGTAATGTGTGGTCTTAGGCTTAGTAGTTAATTCACTAGGACTATTTGGTCAGTCTAATTATTTTGAAGATAAGTATTGAGGTCAACAGGATGGCAAGTGGAGGGACTTGGGCCAAGCCTTCAAGGAGGTGGCTTATAACTTGGAGAGGATTTAGAAAGAGGTTTGTGGCCCTAGCCAAAAGGGTTCAAAAGTCAAATTCTTCTCAGTTAATGGCTGTATCATGAAAATTATTTCTGCAATCTGACTAAATTTTATTTAATAAACATTTTCTAATTTTAAATAGTCTAGTCTAAGTGGGCAGATTAAGTACTTTATGTGCTGTTTATCAGTGCTAGTTTCTTAGTGGGTGATTTGGCTATTTCTAAACAATTTTGTTATCTGACAACATCCATTGTGGACCCCAAGGAAGGTCCAAGTCAAGGGTTGAGACAATACAATAATGTTTTTACATGGTCATGTAACAGGGAAGTGGCTGAAATATGGCAATGGTTCGGATTGCTTGCTTTGAGTGTTATTATTTGATAACTAAATATCACCCATTTTACCAGACAATTCAAAGATTTCATTTAAATTCACTGAGTTGTGCAACCATCACCATAATTCAGTTTTAGAACTTGCATTCCCCAGCAAAGATTCTTTGTGCCTGGTTATCAGTTAGCTCCCATTTCCCACCTGCAATCCTAGGCAACCACTAATCTGCTTTTTTTTTTTTTTTTTTTTTTGAGACAGTGGTCTTCACTCTGTTACCCAGGCTTGGAGTGCAGTGGCACAATCTCAGCTCACTGCAACCTCCACCCTCCAGGGCTCAGGTGATCCTCCCACCTCAGCCTCCTGAGTAGCTAGGACTAGGCATGCCCACCACGTCTGGCTAATTGTTTTTTGTTTTTTGTAGAGATGGTGTTTTGCTATATTGTCCGGCTGGTCTCAAACTCCTGGGCTCAAATGATCTACTTTTTTCTATTATTGTTTATTTTTTGAGATGGAGGTCTCACTCTGTCAACTAGGCTGGAGTGCAGTGGCAGGCTCTCAGCTCACTGCAAACCTCTGCCTCCCAGGTTCAAGCGATTCTCCTTCATCAGCCTCCTGAGTAGCTGCAATTTACAGGTCACGTGCCACCATGCCTGGCTAATTTTTTATTTTTAGTAGAGACGGAGGTTTCACCATGTTGGGCCAGGCTGATCTCAACTCCTGACCCTAGGTGATCTACCCACTTGGCCTCACAAATGCTGAGATTACAGGCATGAGCCACGGGTGCCGGCAAAGTGATCTACTTTTTATCTCTGTAATTTGCCTTTTCCTATATATTATATGATGGAATCATACAATATGTGATTTTTTTTTTGAGCATAAAGATTTTGGGGTTCATGCTATAGCATGCATGAACTTCATTCCTTTTTATGGCTCAGTAATATTCCATTGTATGGACCATAACCTGTTGTGTTATTCATTCACCATTGATGGACTTTTTTGGCTATAATGAATGGCGCTGCTATGAATGCTTATATTCATATGTTTATGTGTACATATATGGTTCCATTTATCTTGAGTAGATACTTAGGAGACTTTAACAAGTCTTCATGACCTTAGGCAATTCACCTGACTTCTCAGAGCCTCAGTTTCCCTATCATATAAGATCTGGGGATACAGCTACTAGGGAGGCTGAAGGCAGGAGAATCACTTGAACCTGGGAGGTGGAGGGTTGCAGTGAGCCAAGATTGCACCATTGCACTCCAGCCTGGGCAACAGGAGTAAAACTCCATCTCAAAAGGAAAAAAAAAAAAAAAAAAAAGTGAGGATAAAAGTGTAAGTTACTCAACAAAGTGTATCTGGCAGAGATAAGAGGGCATCGCTGCTGTAAGCTGAGTCACAACAGCCATTTGAAGATGTTCCTCTCATCAGAAGTGCTTTGCCAAATCAGCCTGGTCTAGGTGTCTGGGCAAACTGTAAAAACTACAGATTTTACAAAAGTGGGCAGAAGAACTGACACTTGGATAGGGTGTCAGCTACAGGGAGGCACCTTCTTTTTGAAAAGCCTGTGGGAAGAGCAGGAAATTCCCAGATGGAGAAGTGAGAGAAAGACAGTCCTTACAAGAAGGAAATGGCAGGCACACAAGTGCCAGGCCAGACATCTGAGAGTGGCATCACTGGGTGTGGAGGAGCTATGGTGAAGAGTGAGCTTGGGTGGCAGGGGAGGAGGCGGGAGGGTTGGGCTGGGCCAGGTAGGGATGGTTCCTGTATGTCCTGTGTGTTGAGGCTGCTGCTTGTAAGAGCTGGGGAAGATTATTAAGCAGAGCAGGGACTAATTAAGTTCAAAAGCTACAAACTTTTAACAAACCTTTAAAGGACATCTATTTTGTAATGCCTGGAAACGTGGATGACTGGTGACTCATTAAGAATTTTATGGAAAGCTTTTTTGCTCCCAGGTTCTGGGACCCCAGGTTGGCTCCCAGGGTCTGAACCTCCATCCCCTGCCCCTGTGAACAGTACAGACAGTAAATCCTTATTAAGTTTACTTCCTGGGGCATCAGGAGCCAGATGTAGTGTTGCTTTTTCATCCTGACAACTGCTGCTGCTATCAAAAGCAAGAGGTAATCAACTGGTTTGTGGACCATTCTTTTCTTTGACACTTAAGTACCAGCTCTGTTTCAACTGGGTATATGAGAATTGCTAGGGGTATGTGTCTACTTTGAATGTTTATTCAGTCCCTTTGCAGGTATTATAATGAAAATTATAGAAAATTTACTTTTAAAAACACTGATGCTTAGGTATAGAAGATAGGAAAAATTATTGAGGGGAGGATGGAGCTCAGTTTCTTGATAAAACTTTGGGAAACACTGTTTTAATTAAAGAAATGACCTGTAAGTAAGGCAGAAGGCAGACAGCCCAAAATGCAAATGTATCAGGCTGTCTTGAATATCTTTTCTACTTGTGGCTACTTGGTCTTTGAGTTATAAGTGTCTTCTTGAGGGTTTGGGAGGTTTTTCTTTTTATAGACATACACACGCATACACACATATGTACATGTGTGTGTAAAATGTTTATTCACACCAGAGATACATAGAGCTGACATCAGAGGGAGGAATGTTACCAGAATTAGGTTCTGGGGTTTTGCTATATTGTATAATATAGCAATATAGCTATATATTGCTATATATAGCCATATATATATGTATATTTTATTCTAAAACCATTATGAGAACCTTTTCCTTCAAAATACATGAATGGGAAGTGATGATTTCTAACTATATTTTCTTAAAGAAGACTGATAAGACCAAAATGTCAAGAAAGCTTTTATCAAGCCTGTTAATTTGACACACAACATAGAGACACGGGGTCCCTTGGGGAGGGCAGGTTGCTGTGATGGAACTGTAGCGATTCTCCCCACCCACCCCTCGGCTTAGGCCTCTGGGTTCTGCCTTGTGCCTGGGTCTCAGATCTTACCTGCTGCAGTCCCACCGCTCCCTGAACTTGGCTCCTCCCGACTTCTCCCGGCTCATTCGGAAGCCCTGGACAGTGTCAAGATAGAAACGTCAGTGCCACACCACCTTTGTTTTCTTCCCATGGGGTTTTCCTTGGGATCTTTAATTCCGGTCACTCCTGAGCTTCCCACTGGGCAGATCTCCTTGGCAGCAGGCAGGGACATGTTTCTGTTCTCTTCTGGGCCTGCACACTGTATGTTCGGGGTTTCTCTTCTGGGCCTGCACACTGTGTTTGGGGTTTCTCTTCTGGGCCTGCACACTGTATGTTTGGGGTTTCTCTTCTGGGCCTGCACACTGTATGTTTGGGGTTTTCTCTTCTGGCCTGCACACCTGTATGGTTTGGGGTTTCTCTTCTGGCCTGCACACTGTATGTTTGGGGTTTTTGGTGCGCATCTCCTGGATGCTGGAAGATGGGTGGCCAACGTTGATTCTTAAAAGTTGTTTTAAGCATGGTTTAATTTTAGCTATAAAAGGCTGCTTTACTGGTTTTCGACTAAGGCACTCCATGGAGCTCACCCCACCTCCATTTCCCTCTTCCCGTCCCCATTAGCTGTGACAGCCCAATCATATGTCTCTCTCCCTTCTGATCAGGCAGGCCAGGGGCTCTCTTGTTTGAAGTTGGCTTCATAATTCCTTACTTTACTTGCCATCCCAGAAGAAGGACTTGATTCTCCTCTTATCTCAAAGGTGGATTCTTCCCAAACAAAATTCTCCTCCTTCATCTCCTAGGAGGATGTTTTCTGGTCAGGGGCGGGCCTCCTGCCAGTGTGGGTTTGTGGGCAGCCCTCTGGCCTGGCACATTATTACACAGTGACATCAGCTACTGTCCCCCCCAGTGCCAGTGGTTTCTCGGGATGGCCCCATCTTGCCTCTGACTTTCCATCTCGTGCCCATCTCCAAAGGGACATCACTCATGTCCTTGCTTGTCCCAGTGAGAAGCCCTGATCCAGTGCTTTTTGATTTACCTCTCACTCAGTTTTATCTCTTAAATCTCAGGGAAAGAGCCCACTTTCTTCCCATCTACAATATTCTTGCATTAATCCAACAGCCTTGATTGCTGGTCAGTCTTAATTGCCTTGCACCCCTTCCCCCATTGCCGCACCATTTGGAGCCAAAATGCTTCTGAATATAAACCTCATTTGCATCACCCCTCTTCAAAAACTCTCTAGGGTGGCTTTCCATTTAATTCCACACTCCTTAAAGGACTTGTCTGGCTTTGAACCCCCTGAGCCCATCCCCCAGACTGCCTTGTTTTCTATGTGCCCCAGGAAGGCAGGTGTCCTGCCTTGTTCAGTGCAGAGTTTGGTGCGTGGGTAACGGTGGTTCTGGCGTTAGTCAGAGGTGAGGCATGTGTATTTTACTATGATGGAGTAGGCAGCAAGTTGCATTTAACTTTCTTTTTCTAGGAGATGGACCATAATTTTCTTATATTAAAGTGCTGTAGAGGACCGAGCACGGTGGCTCATGCCTGTAATTCCCAGCACTTTGGGAGGCCGAGGCAGGTGGATCACCTGAGGTCAGGAGTTCGAGACCAGCCTGTCCAACCTGGTGAAACCCTGTCTCTACTAAAAATACAAAAATTAGCTGGGCATAGTGGCAGGCACCTGTAATCCCAGCTACTCAGGAAGCTGAGGTGGGAGAATCGCTTGAACCAGTGAGGTGGAGGTTGCAGTGAGCCAAGACTGCACCATTGTACTCCAGCCTGGGTGACAGAGCGAGACTCTGTCTCAAAAAAAAGAAAAAAAAAGTTATTGTAGAGGTTTATGGTGGCTCTTTTATTTTACTTTTCTTCCTTTTTTGAAACATCTTTTGGGTGGAAGTGGATTTATTTGGTAGTACTCCGTGGGTCAGAAATGGGACTTCTCTTTGAAATACATTCTTACAGAGAGAAACTTGACGATTGTAGATTTAGTGCCTAGGAAGTTGGTATTTGAAAAGCATAACCTGTGGTTATGCTGTCTGAAGGCATGGTTTATTATTTTTTCACTTTCATTGGTCTCACTCCTGCTTCCTTATTTCTTGGAACAGGAAATCCTAAAACATAGAAGTTAATTGGTGGCTGCTCAGAGCCCCTTGGCCTGGATAGAGTCTCCTGTGAACATCTAAGCCTGTGAACCCAAGGTCAGAGCTCTTTCTTTCCCCTAGGCCCAAATGCTGCTCGCTCTGTTTACACACTTCCTACACATCGATGGTCTGTGCCTTGTTCTCGCGTCCTTTATGGTCTTTGTTTTAGTCCAGGAGCCATACTGGCCTCGGTGCAGTCCCTGCAATGCAGCCTCATTCTCTGTGACCTCAGTTGGGTCCTTAACATCCAGATTCTTAAATGTCTCAGAGCCTCAGTTTTCTTATCTGTGGAATGGTCATCACGACAGTGCCTACAGGGTTGTTGTAAAGATTAATTGAGAAAGCATGTTAAATCCCTTGACATAATAGGGGAACCATCAGTGTTAACTGCTGCCTCTACCGATAGTCTATTATTTTGACATCTGCCACCTGCTAGCTGTGTGACATTGGGTGAGTTATTCAGCCTCTCTGGGCCTTAGTTTTCTGTTGTAAAATGGTGTTAATGTAAGTGCTTACCCCTCACAGTATTGCTCTGAAGATTACATAGAATAATCCATATAGAGGGCTATGAATGGTGCCTGGCCATAGTCACTGTGCTTAGTAAATGTCAGCTCACTGCAGCCTCCACCTCCCGGGTCCAAGCAATTCTCCTCCCTCAGCCTCCCGAGTTTGGATTATAGGCGTCTACCACCACGGCTGGCTAATTTTTGTGTTTTTAGTAGAGACAGGCGTGTCTTTTTATTGGGTTCAATTTTTAAAATATTTTAAAGCTTTATAAAAGGGTAGCACAAGGGGTCCTTGTAAGTGGTAGATACATGCACCAATACAGGTAATAAAATTACACAGAGCTTAATACACACATGTGCACACAAATAAGTGCAAGTAAAATGGGAACTCTGAGGAAAAGTTATGGATTGTATCCGTGCTGATATCCTGGGTGGGATATTATGATCTTGCAAAATGTTACCATCGGGGGGGAACTGGATAAAGGGTATACAGGATCCCTCTATATTATTTCTTCTTCTTCTTTTTTTTTTTGAAATGGAGTTTCGCTCTTCTGCCCAGGCTGGAGTGCAGTGGCACGACTTCTGCCTCCCGGGTTCAAACTGTTCTCCTGCCTCAGTGTCCCGAGTAGCTGGGACTACAGGTGTGTGCCACCATGCCTGACTAATTTTTGTATATATATATATATATTTTAGTGGGGACAGGGTTTTGCCATGTTGGCCAGGCTGGTCTCGAACTCCTAACCTCAAGTGATCCATCTGCCTTGGCCTCCCAAAGTGCTGGGATAATAAGGCGTTAGCCACCGCTCCCGGCTCCCTCTGTATTATTTCTTCTGTCTGCTTGTGGTTATCTACACATGACTGACTATATGAGTAATTACAGTTATCTTAATTCAAAAACTTAGCCTTAAAAATTTGAGTGTTATCTCTAAATATAGTATTAGAGAAATAGCAGCTCTGAATCTTATTGTACAGAGAATAGAGCCAGGTTAGTTAAAATGTAGCCCAGTTTTCTCTTTTTCCAGGAAAGTGGTGGACTCAGATTTTTGAGGAGAGTGGGCGCCAGTGAGCGGGTGTAAGCAGGCCCTCAAGTGACAACAGAAATTTAAACAGAGGCCACTTAGTTGCTGTGATCTGCTACCTGGTGTATAAAGGGTGCTGCAGATGCTTTGGCATGCTGCCTGGGGGGCCCCAGGGTTTTTATCTGCATGCTTGCAGACCATCATAGCTGTGCGTGAAGAAAATTAACTCGGGTTGGTGCATAGCAGTCTTCACTTAAGAGCTTGTGTGACCTCGAGCTGATGGACTATCTAGAGCAATTTGAGCTGGACTTCATCTACATCAAATTAGATCCAGGTTTAAAACTACCCTTATAAATCTCCCTTGCTTCTCTCTCCCTGGCAGCTCTGTCTAAGGCAGCATATCCCCGCCCCACCGCTTGGACAGGAGGGATCTCATGAAAGTGTTGGGTGGAGGGGTCTTGTCTGCTGGCTCTGATGGCACTGTCTTGATAGGGTTTCAGATTTAGAACCAGATTTCGGATCTCCTCCCTAAGCTAGAAAATCATTCCAACAGATCCGATTTCTCTGAGCTAATTTACTAGGATGATCTCTACTTGCATTTAATAAAATATTCAGAGACCTATTGAATTTCAGTGGTAATGCTACTGAGTTTGACTTAGTAATATGCTTCAATTCCCAAATGCGTCGCATGGGCTGTTACTGAATGTGGGTCACTAGGAAAGCTTTGACTCCTAACAGAATTATTCACTGAAGTCTTAGTTATAAAGCATTACTAAGAAGTTATTTATTTAGTCCCAAAGTGACAGGTTTCAAAACATTTTGCACATTGACTGGCCATAAATCCATCTATATTCACTCCTCCCCCCATAGAATAAAACTTATGCTACCTTCTTGGTGTTTGTTGAACTGCAAATCAGTTCCTTGTCATTGATTTAAAATAAAACAACCCTGATGTATCTTTAGCAGACAAGAACCTTCTTTTGTTTCACAACCGATTTCTCCAACGGACGGAGAACAAAGACCCATAGTCCTAAAGTGCTTATGTGCAGCCTCGTATGACCACAGTAAATTGTACATGTAATGAAATATTACTCTGTGTGTGTATGTGTGTGTGTGTGCACGCGCGCAATCGTAGTAGTCTTTTTAATGTATATTTAAAAAATAACAACCTAGTTTTCATGGTATGGAGCTGATTGCTTAACCTTAGAATGTGGGCCACTTGGGGGGAGGGGGCTGTGCCGTTTTGAAATTATCAGTTTAAGACTCTTGTTTAATAATTATGACAGCAGCTGTTTTCTGAAGGATTCCAGTCTGTTCATATGGTTGGGTCTGTATGGTTAGTGGAGTCTAGATGCTACAGGCCTTTCTCATCATTCACACATGGGTGGCTGTGCTGCTGGCCCCCACCCCACCTACGTTCAGCTGAAACTGAACTATCGTGAGGCCAACCTGCCTTCCACTCCCATGCTTCGCCTCAGCACATGCTCACACACACAGACACACAATGTCAAGTTTCAACAGGGTACAAGTCCCCCTCTCATCCTCCAGTCACTGAACTGGGAACGTGAAATCTGGTCTGTGGTTGAGTACATCTGCGGGTGAACCCAGCAGAGCCAGTGACCCTCCGTGCCTAAGTGCAGGCACAGTGTCTACGGGATGCTTTTCTTACATGATATTTTGTTTGCAGGCCTCTTGTCCATCCGGGAGCTCCATTGTCCATTATTTATTTCTTAACAGTTTTAATGTGCCGAAAGAGTTGGCCAGAATCGACTCAAGACATATAATCGACATAATGCTGCAGCTCGGCTTCTTGAGGAGGTAAGTCCTGCCAGGGGAAGCAAAAGAGTTGTTTATAATGCGACTGGTTTTCATTGAATACCTGATTAAAGCATGCCTTATCACCTGTTTCAGTGAGGAATCTTGGAAATTGGTCTCTTTCAAGGTATAATGTAATGGCTTTACTTTATGAACTAGTAGCTACGTACGCCTTTATAGCTATAATTTTGTGCAGATATTTTATGTTTTTAAAGGAATATATTAATGGCACCAAATGTGGTGCGTTTAAATACTTGGTAGAATATCCAGTTGTAAGTGTAAAAAATCCTGAAACATTGACTAGTGATATATTTTAAGTGCATCCAAAAAATGTCAGAAAAATGTATCATCGTCTGTGTCTTCCTAATGTATTTTAAGTTTTGACTTAGGCTAGTGGAATATTATGCAGTGTCAGCATAGAAATAAGCAAAATAAGCATGGCAAGAAAAATTTAAGTAAGTTGCTTAAGATTAGGTGAGCTGCCTATATTTTAGAGACTGGTTTTCTGAATTTCTTCTGAGTATTCTGTTGCAGTTGAGAATTAAGTATGACGAAGGTCTCTAGAAACAGATGGGTATAAGTGTATCTGCATGCCTGGAACAGGCCAGAACATGGTAGGTTCTTAGTATTTGTTGAATAAATCTCCATCATTAATACACTGCCCCCTTCACTGAATCAGGCCTTAAATGAACAGGTGCTGCCTTCTAGCCCCTTGCTTCTGCTCTAGAAACTGGAATGATTTTGGAGTATGTGATTATTATGTGGAGGACACAGAAATCATTGTCATTGTTTTCAACCAGTGGGAGGTCAGGGTTGAAGCTCAGACAGAAACTGGGCCAGACTGGTTTCCCAGAGGTTTTTTTGGGGGTATGTGGCATTCTTTCACCGTTTTTATGTCTCTCTATTCCCGTGTTTCTACCTCTGCACATCCAGCATTCTCTTCCTGGTCCTGCAGTCCACTCCTGTTTGAAGTCACAAACTCATCAGCTCCCCAGAAGTGATGTCAGGGTTTTTGGCTATGTGACAGGGTGTCAAGGGCGGTATTTTGGGGCACCGGCCTTCAGCCTTCGGGTGTCACTCCAGTTGCGGCTGTCTTTGGTGTTAGCCACGTGGCAGGCTGTCTTGGTTGGCACCACCAACTTTTGAAAATGGTTGATTGCTGACCCCTTTCTACTGCAGCCATTTCCCCCAGCAGTGCTCTCCAGATCTTACAGACTGCTTCTGGCGCCCGCTCATCAGCCCCTGTTCAGGTCATTGAGTCTTCTGAGAGGGGTCCTAAATCTGTACCTTCCAAGGCCACCACTCAAACTCTTGGGGCCTCAGCAATGAGATTTTAGCTTCTCTCTGCTTTACTCTTCCTTGCAGCTGCCACCGACCATGCCCTCTGTGACCCTCTCACCCTTTCTCTAAGGCTCCTCGCTGTGTAGTCAAGGCCACCCATTGCTCACGGTCCTGAATCCTCCTCTAGCCCTTCACTGTCACTGGGGACATGGCTCCTGCTCTCCCACCCTTGGCCCTCTATGGCATTTAACTGCGTCGGTTCTTTCCTGCTTCTCAGTCTTGTGCTGCAGGGCCTGCCAGGGACCTTTGAAGCTAGCCCCAACCCCATCCCCAAGTAGTCTGTGCCCTTGCTGAGCCCCAGGCTTGGGAGTCACCCCACAGTCCTGTTTGTTTTGTTCATCCAGCTGGATGAACAATGTATTTTTTTATTTTTCTGTAGAGGTGGGGTCTCCTTATATCGCCCAGGCTGATCTTAAACGCCAGGCTGATCTTAAACTCTGAGGCTCAAACGGTCCTCCTGGTCTGGTGCAGTGCCTTATGCCTGTAAATCCCAGCACTTTGGGGGGGTCAAGACAGGTGGATCACTTGAGCACAGGAGTTTGAGACCAGTCTTGCCAAAATGGCCAAACCCCGTGTCTACAAAAAATACAAAAATTAGCCAGGCGTGGTGTGTGCCTGTAACCCCAGCTACTCGGGAGGCTGAGGTGGGAGGATCGCTTGAGCTCGGGAGATGGAGATTCCAGTGCACCGAGATCATGCCACTGCACTTCTCCTGGGCACCAGAGTGAGACTCTGTCTCAAAAAACAAAACAAAACAAAACAAAATTAGAACCAAACTACATCCACTGTTTATTTGAATCTCTCACATTTTTAAATTAAAAAATGCTCTCACCTTGGCCTCTCAAAGTGCTTGGATTACAGGCGTGAGCCACCAGAGCCAGCCTGTTTTATTTTTAAAGGGTCATCATGGCAACAGCGTCTGTTTGTGTCTGTGTGTTCCATATCTGATGCCATTCTGTTCCTGTCCTGATAAGATTCACGCCTGAGTTACTGCCTTTCCTTGGAACTAGGAGGGTGTCCTGGTTAAAGTCTAACTGTCCCAGTCATGTAGCTATTGCCCTGTGCCATGCTTTTCCTGGGCTTTGGCTCTGTTTCTTCTGTTCTCGTGCTGTGGTTTGCATACCTGCTGTAGGCAGGCAAGTGGGGTACTGGCGGATTTGCACAGGATCCCAAAGCACAGCCTTCCACCAGCATGGAGAGTTCACTTCTGGTTTTAAGGGGAACACGATGCTGTGGCTCACCTGAGCTTGCTGCTGTCTGGAATGCACCTTTGGGCAGAGCTTGCCTCCTCAGTTACAGAGAGGGTGATTCCACTGGCCCCTTAGTCATGCTTTTTGTCCTGAAATTGGTGAATGAGATGAGTCAGTTGCTAAGTGTAGGCGGCAAGCTGTTCGGAATCTCTAGTAGGTGTGTCAGTCAGCGATAGAGTTCATTGGTAAAAGGGGGCTGAGACTCAAGTTACAGTCTTTTTTAAGTCTATGCTTTGAAAGCATAGTGAGGAGAGGAAGGAGGCAGTTAGAATGAGCGCTACCTTGCCTCATTTCTTGGGGGAATAAAGGAACTAGTTCTTTTAATAGCTTATTTCCAAGGGCCTAAATTACTTGTTTGTGGTCTCTGTTTCTCATTGTAGTTTAATCCAGTGACCATCTTCTAGCTATTTTCCGGTTTTTATCCTTTTTTTTTTTTTTTGGTAGACATGGGGTCTCACTATGTTGCCCAGGCTGGTCTCAAACTCCTGGCCTCCTCAAACTCCTGATTCTCCCACCTTGGGCTCCCAAAGTGTTGGGATTACAGACATAAGCTGCCATGCCCAACCTGTTTTCTTGTTTTTAGAAGTAAACATTAATCATATTTTGGCTAGAGAAATGGGAGGTTTTTTTCATTCTTGTAATTCTCAAAGAAAAACCCAACCAGCCTGTTGCCTCAGTAATATTAAAGAGAGAAAACTGGAGACTCTACAATAACATTTCTGTTTAAATTTCCATTTTATCTATAACTATTTTTAATATAACTTGTTATTTTCGATGTTTTGAGTACATAGTAGGTGTATGTATTTATGGGGTACATGAGATACTTTGGTAAAGGCATATGCTGCATCATAATCACATCAGGGTAAATGGGGTATCAGGCTGAGCAACATGGCTCATACCTGTAATCCAGACAGGTGGGAGAATTGCCTGAGGCCAGAAGTTTGAGACCAGCCTGGGTAACATAGTGAGACCCTGTTTCTACAAAAAGTTAGACGCTGTAACTGAGGAGGAGGCAAACTTTGCCCAAATGTGCATTCCGAAAATGAGATAGGCATGTGGTCCCAGCTACTCAGAAAGTGAAGTGGGAGGGTTGCTTGAGTCCAGGAGTTGGTGGCTATGGTGAGCTGTACGTGCACCAGCGCACTCCAGCCTAGGCAATAGAGTGAGACCTGTCTCAAAGAAAAAAAAAAAAGGTGGAGGGGGGAGAAAGAAAGGGGTATCATCACCTCAAGCAAGCATTTATCATTCCTTTGTGTTACAAATATTCCAATTATACTTTTAGTTATTTTTAAATGTGCCATAAATTATTGTTAACTGTAACCACCCTATTGTGCTGTCAGATACTAGATCTTATTCTAACTCTATTTTTATACCCATTTGCTATGACTTCTTGCTTCTTCTGGCAGAGAGTGTTCTTTAAAATTACCCTAAAGATTACATTTCTGGTGTAGACCAGGGAAGTGTTTGTCCTTAGTGGGGCACGAAGAGGGAGGCGAGGCAGCCCTTAGGTGCAGGGTTTGAGGTGTAACGAGTAGGACAAAGGACTTCATTGTTGAGCTCACCGCTCTACTTGTTTTTCTTCCCCTTCCTGTCTCCCAATTCCTGTTGGTTTCTGGCCGTTTGTGTGCTGGAAGTCTTCTGCATTCTTCAGGCGCCCTGGCAGTCCCTTGCCTTGCCTGAGCCATCTTCATTATTATGCTGTGTGCTTGATTTGTTTGCATTGAAATGCGTACAAAATGTGGCTAAAGGCTGGGCGCAGTGGCTCACGCCTGTAATCCCAGCACTTGTGGGAAGCTGAGGTGGGCAGATTGCTTGAGGTCAGGAGTCCGATACCAGCCTGGCCAACATGGTGAAGTGCCATTTCTACCAAAAATATAAAAATTAGCTGGGCAAGGTAGGGTGTGCCTGTAGTCTTAGCTACTTGGGAGGCTGAGGCAGGACAATCACTAGAACCTAGGTAGCAGAGGTTGCAGTGAGCTGAGATCATGCCACGGCACTCCAGCCTGGGTGACAAAGCGAGACTCCATCAAAAACAAACAAAAAATGTGACTAAGGCATGCAAAATATCAGTGCTTGTTGGAACTTGACAGCCTGTATGCATGAAGGCAATGCAGATCAGGCAAGCACTGATGAAGCACCTGCTGAGTGTTCAGTCTGAGAACTAGTTCTAGTAGAGACATTTGATAGACTTGAGTTAGATTTTTGGAGACTATACTTCCAAAGAGAAGTGAACATTGGTATTGCAGTTTTAACTAAATCCAGCTGAAACCACCTGGACTAGGTGCTAATTTTGAGTCAGCCCCTGGAGACTTTAATTCTGTGCAGTCTCCCTCACACAGTTCTTTGAATCCTTTCCTCTAGGTACCTAATAAGCACAACTGTTGAGTCTCAGAAATGACAAAGGTCCATGAAATAAGGGACCCTTTTTTTTTTTTTTTTTCAATTTTATATTTTGAGATAGGGTCTCCTGTGTTGCCCAGGCTGGTCTTGAACTCCTGTGCTCAGGAAATCCTCCTGCCTTGGCCTTCCAAAGTGCTGGGATTACAGGCATGAGCCACTGCACTCAGCCAAGGGAACTTCTTGGTAGACACTGGGCCAGTGTGCAGAGATGAGCATCTCGGTTAGTTGGGCAGATTCACCGAGTCCCCTTTGCCCCATGACAGGACTGTCTCCATATGGACTGTGTTTCTAGAAAGGCAAGGTCATGATGGGGAGGCACAAATTGTGAGAATGAGTTGGGGAATTTGCAACTCTTTTTTTTTTTTTGAGACAGAGTCTTGCTCTGTCACCTAGACCGGAGTGCAGTGAGGTAACGTTGGCTCATTGCGAGCCCTGCCTCCTGGGTTCAAGTGATTCTCCTGCCTCAGCCTCCCGAGTGCTTGGGATTACTGGCTCCCACCACCACGCCCAGCTAATTTTTGTGTTTTTAGTAGAGACAGGGTTTTGCCATGTTGGCCAGGCTGGTCTCAAACTCCTGACCTCAAGTGATCCCAAAGTGCTGGAATTACAGGTGAGAGCCACTGTGCCTGGCCTATCTATAGCTCATTTTTGATACTGTGATACCTGGCTGGCTTCTGGGACTGTGGTGACAGCATTGCCAGTTTGGGGATTGTGGAAGGCCTGGAGGAGAGAGACCATCATCCTGCAAGAGGGAGCCAAAGTGCTGTTGAATCCAGTCTTCTCAAACTGTACTTGACCTCAAGTGCTGCGCTCATACCGCAGTGAAGTTCTTGTGGTTAGCAAAGGGAGATGTCTGCGGTTGCATGGAATCATTGGGTGGATATCTAAGACGTTAGAAATAAAAGCTGATTATTCTCTTTATTATTAAACTTCCAAAGAGAAGTGAACATTGGTATTGCAGT